CACTTGTTATTTTCCTGCTGCATCGCAAGTTGGCTGTATTTCTCATCACGTTTTGTCCGGGAATCTCAGAGAGCTTGGTCGAAAAGCGCAAAATTGATTTTGTATCCCCACTTGAATATTTTCGTATTCTCATTATGTCCTATCATCTGTTGCAGCGATTAAATGTGTGTCGCCAGAATAACAGTACTGTTCTCCTAAACTTTGGGTGTATTTATTTTTGAATGAAGGTAGTTCCCCAACCAAGTGTTTCCCTTGTTCTGGTTTTTGGTCTCACAACGAGTATCAACGGTGCACTTTGAAAGCAAACCAATTGCGTTTTCCTGACTCTACAATGCCGATAAACGCGGACTCATCATACATTTCACCGCTCATCCGGGACAACTGTATCATCATCGTACAGCGAAATACAGTGAGGCAAACTTCACTGGTCGCTGCCAAACTCGCAATGCATACAAGGTTAGTAGTAAGATTTATGGATTGGACCTATTTCGAGGGACGAGGAAGAAGGTGAACCTCTATGGTCAACAAACAGAGTATGCAATCGAACTCTGCATACATACCGTTTCAAACATTCTGACCTGATAAGAAATGACCACAAGAAGGCCACTGCTGTCGGTTCGCTGCCATATTCTTCAATGTCTCCAACAAACCAGTTGAGGAGTCTTTCGGACCCCAACGTGGAAGCCGAGGGACACCTATTCTACCTAGTGGTTCTGTGTATTTCTTCATGCCTCCTCTCCACGCCATCACCACGAAACTGCATCTTGACATGGTGTGAAATAAAGGTTTCCCGGGAAATAAGCTACCTCAAAAGGCATAAGGTCTCCGGCCCAAACGTGCTCTCCTCATCTGTTTTTAAGGATGGAGGTTCAGCTTTGGTCTCGGAGTTAACGAATCTCTTGGGCTCAGTGTGGGAGAGGGAACAGGTTCCAACTGAATGGTGTAAATCAGTGATTATACCGATTCACATAGATGACAGACCCTCGCGTGAAAACCACAGGGGAATTAGTTTAATCAACATCGCTTCTAAACTGCCCACAGGGATCATATTTCGTCGATTGTCTTCCGCACGTGAAGAGTGCATGCGTGAGAAACAGGCTGGTTTTCGATTTAGTCGAAGTTGTATTGATCACATCTTCACTCCTCGCCAAACTGTGGATCACCGAGATTATTTTCATATACCCACCATTTCTGTCTTTCTCGATGTGAAAGCGGCTTTCGACTCAGTCGACAGCTGTAAACTCTGGTGCTACCCTTCCCTGATAGTTGTGCCCAAGAAGTTAATTTCAGTTATGCGGTCCCTCTATACTCAGCCGAAACCGAGTCCGAGCTTAGGGCCCTTTTTCAGCCAAGTTCACCACGGAAAGTGGTGTTCGATAGGATTGCCCTCTCTCCCCTGTTCTATTTAACTTTGTTATAGATTTGATTATGGAAACAGCCCTATCCTCGTGTGAGGATAGTGGTATCGATTTACTCCCAGGTGGCAGGCTGT